AAGGGACAGCAGCTGGGCCTGATTCTGGACAACAGATGAGCATGTCTTTGACTTCTAGCATGAGCACTGGACTCCAGTGGGACTCAGCTGAGTGTGTTTAATCATTGTGCTGACTCAAGGGGCAGGGCAGCAAAAGCCCTTGACTAATGACCTGCATGATGGGAGGGACAGGACTTTACCACTGAGCTAGTGGTGACAGAAGTGTATTGCAGGGGGTTGGGGAGAGAGAGCTGTCACTCAATAGCTCATAACGGTCAATAGGTTGGCCCCTGAATGGACTATGTTACACCTGAGACCATTGCTTGCCTATTCTAGCTGACACATCCACTGTCTTCTTCCCTCATGTCCACAGGGATGGGATATGCTGGAATATTAAACAGCAGTACAACCCCACCAAGACCACAGGACGCTTCCTCTTGAAGGGTGAGTGAGGGGAACGGTGGAGTTCATGTAAATCTAGACCACCTTCTAGATACAGCCTTCCTGTATCTAGACTTTTGGACTCCACCAAAAGCCTTCCCAGATTTTAAACAACCCCATTGCATGTTGGGGCAGCACATTTTGTGGGTGCTTTTGTCCAGCCCTCCAGCATGTGCTTTGTAACCTGGGTACTTGGCTCCCGGTGTATCAGTCAAAACTCCTGGAAACCTGATTCACAAGAGCCCTGTCAGCAAAGGAAGCCAAGAGGCATGGCATCCCCTTCATACATGGTGGAACTGCCAGTCCAAGCCCTCAGGAGCTCCCACACTCAGGATGTCTTTAGAAATGTCAGGTTTTGCCTCTGACAGAAACTGAGCTGAGTCTGACGATTTGTTTACAGGCGGTAGCTGGTCAGGAGAGCTTTCATGTGGACACTGAAGGCAGGTTAAACTAACCAGAGAAAACACACTTCTTCCAGAACCTGTCCACACAGGGAGCCATTCCAGAATAGCTTGGGTGCATTTACACGCTATCTTATTCTGGAGTAACCTCTCCAGGTAGACAAGCTCTTAGAAGCAGTTTGCAGCCGTCCTTACTTCTCCGTGTTAGTCTGTCCTCATGACCTCTACAGAGCCCACTGCAGCCTGGTTTCTGGTACCCTGATTTGGCCAACTCTTGTCCTTTTGTCCTGAATCTAGTGCTATTTGAATTCTTTTCTTTAAAGCCCCAGCTCTGGGAGTCATGTGAATAAATCAGAATCTCATCTTTCATTTTTCAAAAAGGATCTTTCTAGCTGCTGAGGTCACAGAGTGAATTTGAAAAAAATCATATATTTTTAAGATAATCTCCTTATTTCTTGGAGGGGTCCTGATGTAATTTTTTGGAAGGCTTGAAGTCAGGAAAACTGCAGAGGATGGCAGCAGTGTCCAGAGAGCTGGTACTTTCTGCTCTCTATTGGTACAGCACCTGGTGCAGATGGATCCTGATCTATGACCTGGGTCCCTACTTGCCACTGCAGTGCAAACAGATGAAGCAGTGCTGGAGTAATGCATGTGCTGGCTGGCCTTTGAAGTCTGCCTATTTTTAGTATGGCAGACAATAAGGAATCTGGGGAACAGAAGCTGGCTTGGAATCTCAGCATTGCTAGGTTTTGTCCTTTTATTCACAGTGTCTTTCCTACTTGAGCTCCCATCCAGGGGAGGGGACCCCTTTGGCAGTGAGGGGACAGCTTGAACAGAGAGAACCTATGCCATTTTATCTGTGGTAGTTGTGGAGCCCTGTCTCCTCAGTGTTTCACACTTGAGTATCTTGAGCATGAGCCCTAGCCTATTCCCCTAGACACTGGACCACCTTTTCTCTCCTCCCATCCTTCCTCATCTAGTCAGTGCTCCTGTAGTTAGTACAGCACCCAGCACAACGGGGCCCTGATCAGGGCTTTTAGTACTACCATGAGACCAATCAATGCCAATGACTTACTGTGGCCCTGGTTCCCAGGCCGTGGCTATGGTGGCAACGTGGACGTGGTGGTGGGGGAGACGGACTACAACAGCTACGCAATCCTGTACTACCAGAAGCGCCGGAAGATCTCAATCAAGCTCTATGGTGGGTGTATGGGCTCATGACCCTGGGGGCTGGTCCCCATAGGCAGATGCTTTCAGAATGGGGGTAGACATTTGCACCTATAGGAAAGTTCCATGCACGATGACCCCAAGGTTTATTTTTAGGGTGCCTTCTCTGGGGGTCTGATCTGGCTGCCCAGAACTCCAGCTTGTAACCTAGGGCTCTGGGGTCTGAGCACAGAGCTATGTGAGCTACCCAGACAGCTTCCTCTGCCCCCCACAGATGGGTCTGAGACCGTGCCTGGTGAGTTCAAAGAGAGCAGGGCTCTTCTTGAGCCTGTTTGGTGGTAAGGAGTGAAGAGAGCAGACTTTTGGGTTTGAGAGCAGGTAGTGGATCACATGGAATTCTTAGTGCAATGTGCCTAGACATTAGGCTTGTGCAAGCTGCCACTGAAGGCGGTGAGGTTCTCCATGTCCAGGGACTGGAATAAGGATGTTACCAAAGTACTTAATGCTCAGGTACCAGCTGGGTTGGAGCTGGCTTTCAGGATTTTCCAAAATGATCCATCCTGAACTTGGATGAAGTCAACATTCAAGCAGCTTTCAAGAACTGAGAAGCCCCTCAGCAATTTCATTTGGGGTCAATCAAAACATTTAACTTCAATCATTCCGGAACATTTATCACATCCTTCTTAAACCTTTTCTTTTTTACTGCTATTAGCTTGAATTTTGACATAAAGTCCTTTTGAAATGGAGTTGTGGAATATTTTTGTTTAGAAATGGTAAAGTTGAAACACTTCTAGGTTTTTAAAGACTTTTTCTCAAATTTTCAATTGAAAACACCTCTTCTACCTTGCTGCAGAGAGTAGGCTTGAAGTTGCAACAAAGTCAGTTTAGACTGGATATCAGGAAAAACCTCTTCACTCTTAGAACAGCAAGGCAGCAGAATAGACTGCCTAGAGGGGCTGTGGGCTCTCATCACTGGAGGTGTCCAAGAAGAGTTTGGACAGCCACTAGTCAGGGATGACCTAGAGGTAGCTATGCCTATGTTGTTCTATGGGTATGTCCCATGTTATTTGTTGGCATGGGGCCAGGTGGAAACTTTTTCCTTCCCCCCAACCTCTACATGTGTTGGGCTTAGGGGGAAAAAAAATAAAACCTTTTCTCAGAGGCATTGGGTGTTGCTTGTACCCAAGGCTGGGGTGTGTCAGTGTTCCTGCTAGAACTTAATCCTACAGGTTCCTGGCTAGAGGATCTTCCCCCTCCACTCTGGGTCAGATCAATCACCGTATTTAGGGTCAGGAAGGAATTTTACCCAAATTGGAATAGACTGTGAGGGATTTTGCCTTCTTCTGTAGCAGGTGGTCTAGCCCTCTTCCTGGGATCTGTCCAGCATATATTAACAATCTTTGCAGCAGCAGAACGTTGGCCACTGAGGTCCCCCTGGTTTACCCGTGATGTTATATCTTGGGTTTTGTCAGGGTTGACTGTTTAGTTTGGCTAAGGGGTTAGGCATTGGATTTGCATATAATAGTTTGGATAGGGATAATCTTGTTGCAGGTGGGAGATTGGACTAGAATAGATGACCGCTGGAGGGCCCTTCCAGCCCGACTTCTCTATGATTCTATGAAAGCGCTGTTGAAACTGACCCTTTTCCACAAAACACCTATTGTTAAGAAATTAGCATTTGAGTGCCCCTCCAACACAATTTCTTATTAGCAACAAGGAAAAGCTTCTTTCACAATTTCCGGACCAGCTCTGCAAAATACCAGTAAGTTGTGTTTGAGGCCTGATGAGACTGGCTTCTCTATTTCTCATATCCCAAAGGAAGAGATATTCGGGTCAGCGATGCTGTCATCAGTAAATTTGAGCAGCACGTCACAGACATGAACATGAATGAGGACTTAACCTACTACTTCCCTACATACGGTGAGTCACAGGCTGACCTTCCACACCTCATGGGTCTACTCTTGTGGGTGGACTTGAGAGGCAAGAGGAACCCCCTTTGTGTTTCATTTCTCTCTGAGTCCCTCTGGTGCTGGTTGGCATGAAAACTTCTCCTAGAGAGATGCACAGCTCAGACTCTGTGACAGCTCTGGGAGCCGAGAGGTGAGGGTTGGCAGCTGCAGGGGAGTGGGAGCTTTGTCATCAGTGGTGGGGCCAAGGTTGCAGAGGTCTTCTCAAAGAGAGGGAGGAAGAAGGTCTTGGCAGGGCAATTGAGGGGGCATTAAGGGTGCATTTTTAGAAGGAGCTGGCAAAGTATTGCCCCCATGATTGGATATCCTTATGCTACCTCATACTCAAAACATGTTTAGGGGCTGGCCCGCACCCTCTGACAATTCTGAGGAAGCCTTACCATCCCCAGCACAAAGGATTCTAGTGCAAAGGTGTTTGTGCCATGGGCTCCCATTAGGACACTGGATGGGAGAGGACCTGCCAATTGTGCCATGTTCCATGGATCTCCCTATATAAAAGGGCTGTGCCCTTCAGCAGGTGTAAAAGGTCATAGCTGTGGTCTTTCCCAGAAGTGGAGTGATGCCAGCTGAAGAGGAATCCCACGGTGGGTACCTGCCTACTAGCCATAAAGCTCCCAGGACACTAACTCCCCATGGCTTATTTGTTACAGGGTTCTGTGACTCCGCAGATGAGTTCCATATTCTTGATGGTAAGTTGCAAACTCTGGGCCCATTGCTCTGAAACCAGCAATGACCCAATTGCCTCAGGGCTGCCTATGGCTAGGAACAGGGTCTGTTGTACCAGCACCCATGATTGACCAGTCCAAGGGTATCTCCAGTACCCGCTAGGCTGCGTGCTGCTAGCAGCAGAGCTGTGGGTGCCCAGAGCTCAGCATGGGTGGGCTGCCTAGGTATTTCCCTCGAGATATGGGTGGATTTTGCAGTCTGTGCTGAAACTCGGACTGCCATAGCTACCCTGTTATCAGTGCCCAAGCAGGCTAGAATGAAACCTGCCAGGCTGTGTCTCCATGAGCTAGGGTAGACCAGCCCTGACAGCCTCTTGTGGCTGGAGTTGACCATTTAACTCCTGCCTCATGAGGGGAGAAACAGCCCTATAGCACGGGGTGGGGGGAAGAAGAAGAGTGAAAAGCTTCACTTAGGATCCTGAATGCTCCTGTACTGAGCCAGGGAGGAAACTCTTTGGCTGCCATCAGCTGGAGGCTCCTCAGCCCAGCCAGCTGCCACATGTACAACAGGTGTGTCAAACTAGGCTCCGTACGGCTGGGTGTAAGGAGCCCAGTGATGGGGTCAGACAGGGAGGTGAGTCCTTGGGCTGGGGATGATTAGATGGGTAATGCAGTCTAAGCTGGAGTCAGGTGGGGAGGGATTTCCCTGGGGTTGGGTAGCAGGGTCTGTGGTGAGGTTGGGCTGGGAACAGACTCCAGCTCTTTGGGATGGGGTAATTGCACCTGTCTTGGGAGCAGCTGGTAGTGGCTCTTAAGGGCTTAGTGTAATGGGGTCTGAGATGGGGTCATGCAGGCATGGGACTTGCTGGGGCTGGTGTGATGGGGTCTGGGAAGTGGAGCCCTCCCCTCAGCCTTGTTTTCTGCCTTCCAGAAACGAAGAACTAGGAGGAGGTGGAAGTGCCAGAGAGACCCCAAGGAGCCCGCGCACAATGCCTGCAGCAATGCTGAGTGACACAGGCTGGACCACAGCACCATGGGCACAGGAGCTATCAGCGGCAGTCGCCAAATGAGCTTGGAGGCCTAGGGGTGAGGGCTGGGGATGCCTGCCGCAGTCCAGGCTGTGTGCTGCTCCTGTGAAGTCTCTCGGGTTCTGCCACCCATAGAGGGAGTGGCTGCTTTGTGCTTGGCTCAGTGCAGGCTGCCGTGGAGGAGACACGTGATCTGTGCTCCCCCCACAATAAATGCTGTGTAGACGGGGAGGGCTCCTTGGCTCCACATTTGTGGGAATTTGGCACAAGTGCCATGGATGAGCTATGCCAGGAGGTCTCCCATGTCTGCACCCATAGTAGCCACACGCTGTGATCTGGCCCTTCAAAGTTCCTGGCTGTGCCAGCAAAGGCAGTGCCCGTCCCTATAGTAGTGCAGAGCTGTTCCATGGCTTACAACTTGAAGGACAGGAGGAGCCATAAAGGAGCAGGGCTCTGATTGAAAGAGGCTTCCACTGACCCAGTTTGCTCTGAGGGGAGAGAAGGGAGGTACCTCTCCTGCCCCACTGGCTTTGGGATCTCACTCTGGAGACGCCCAGCACTATTCCATTGTCCCCTTATCAGTCCCAGAACAGGCCTGGTTTGATCAGGCAGCAACTGCTCATGCTTTTCCAAGGTACCCTGAACAGCCCAGTTGGCATCTGGGGGCACATCTTTTCAACTCAGGCAGGGTTCAGTGCTTTTTAATCTGAGTCCTTCCCTTGCCACTCACATCCCACTGGGTCTATGAGCTCCACAGACCACACTGATCCTGCACCAGCATCAACTGGCCCACTGCCAGCACATCCACTGATTGCAGAGACACCAGCCACCTAATTGGCCTCTGCCACATGCTGCCCTCTCTGACATGGTGCCCATCAGACAGTGCTGCCAATGGGGGTACCAGTCAGGGCCAAGGCAGCAGGCAGGCTAAATTGACCCCAGCTGGCCATGGTTACTTGAATGGGCCTGACTGCAAGAGGCTTAACTACCCACAGCTGGCCCCAGGTGGCTTCATGGGCATGGCTGCCTGCTTATAAACAGCAGCCCTTTATCTTTTCAGACTCAAGGCACCTCTTGGGAAATACCTTCACCTGTTTCTTGCCTATGTAACAAAGACAGAGCAATTCTTCTGTTGCAAAGAACTCAGAAAGCCCCCAGCAAGTCAGATTGGTTTTGCTGCTATAGATTCTTTGTTTGAAATGTTTCTCCTGTGATTTATGTAGGTGTTTGCACTCCTGACAGAGCTAATATTCTATAACACCCTGTGGCACCCTCAAAAGGATCCCATGCACCCTGGTGGAGAATCACTGGCTTAGGAGGGCACTCAACAGAACAGATGCTTCATTGCATAGCCTTGGGCTTCTGATTTCCAGTTCCTGCCTGCTCTTGGCTCTCTGGATCCTGCTTGTTGGTTTCTTTGGCTTCATCCTTGTTGCTGGCTTCTGCTTGTTGGGTGCTGGCTGCTTCCTATTAACTCCTTGCTCCAGCTTGCCTGGCCAGCTCCAAACATTAGTCCTCCAATAGCTGGTTCCTGGTTTGTGGTTTCAGATCATTGACTGCCCATGTCCTGCCTGCTCTGGAGCCCCTGGCTAATAACTCTGGTTGGGATCCCTGCCTCCTGTTCCTGACCCACTTTGCCCTCTGGCTTGTGTGTCTATCCAGGGTTACTGCTTATTTCCCCATCCTTTGCAGATGTCAGTTTTCTGACCTGCCTACTCCTGCTCCCCTCACCCTAGTTGGGGCTCTTTCTTCCCTGACCTTGTCTGTCCCTGATCTCCTGGGTTTCAATCTCTAGGTTCAATCTGTGACTGCCTATGTCCTGGTTATACCTCTGACAGTACCACTCTGGCCCACTGGAGAACATCCACCATCAACTGGTGCCCCATTCAGTCTGCTGTATTGGCTGTCCTAGGCCAACTCTACCCATCCTTAAATCACAGCTCACCTTGGCCCCAACACCAATCCCACCTGGCCTCCCACAGGCTGCAGACACTTCCCTTCCTGCCCAGCCATTATATTCTCCTCTAAATCCCTAACTTCTGGCATCCAAATGAATCATTGGTACTTGCTGCTGTGATCCTAAGCTCCAGACTTCCAATGACTTCCAGGAGGTATCCCACAATGCACTGCGAGATAAACCCCAGCATGCAGAGCCCAGCAGCAGAATAATGCATTGTGGGATATCTGCCCACAAGGCTGAGCACTTATTTAAGAAACAAAATCCTGGCTGCCCAGATTCAAAGGGAAGAAGGTTAAGGCAGTGGAGCAGGTGCACTTATGTGGGATCAGTGGGCTCCTATACACGATTAATCAAGTCTGCTGGAGCATGGAAATTACTGCACTCCAGCAACCTCCTGCACCACATGTATCAGAATCCCTGCACTGAAAAATGGTGACAAGGTCCTTTAAACTAAAGCTCATTCAATGAGTTCAACGCACCCCACCGCTGATACATGTGATGCTCTGTGCACTCAATTATCGTGGTCCTTGGAGCTGTGCTAATTAAAGCACCCCCCCATGCCTCCCAGAGCATGTGTATAAACACCCAGTGATTCTACAGAAATGTTAATGCCAGATCTATCCAGTCAGAATATCCTTGTGACGGCCAGCCCAATACTATACCTGCTCCTGCAGGATCCTAGGAGGAAGCACTGAGGAGAACAGAAACCTTTAGGGCCTTTCACCAGGTCACAGGATCCTGACAGCACCATCTAATGAGCAGCGACAGTGAATAGCAATAGCAAACATACATACACCAGCGTATAATTCACCCTGGCAGCACCAGCAGCAGTGTAAGAGGGATTTCAATGTGGATACAGGCAGGGGCCTAGACCCTACCAAAGTCCAAAGTCACAGGCCCTCTGGGGAACACAGGTAAAAGATGCCCAAGTCCTTTCTGCTTAGGTAACAAGAGGTGTATGTGACCAGAGCAGGGCTCTGGCAAGCTGTGACTTAGCCTGTGCAGTCTGGGTTGTGATGTTTCCATGCGGACGAGTGCAGTGAATGCTCTCCGTCCCCGGGGCTGGAACATTCAGGAGGGAGAGGGGCCCTGCCGCAGGCCAGGGAGGTTTTGCTGAGCGGGCAGAAGGGTTGAAAGCTGCTAATATCCAGGACCCCGTGCGAGGGGAGAGGCTGTGGTTTGCAGAGCGAGCCCTCCCCACCTGGCTCCCCCCCAGGAAACAGCACAGGGTCACGGGTCTCCCCACATCATGGGGGTTTTGCAATCCTTGCTGAAAATGTTAACACATGTTGTTTATCAAGGGAGCTTATGTAAGGCAGCACCGCGTGATCCTTCCACCGCATTCTCTTCCAGATCAAACCCTCCATTGTTCCTGCTGCCCACGTGCAGGGCAATGGTGTCCAGTTGGGATCAAGCCATCTCTCCTGGGCATCCCTGTGTTCCTGCCCTGGCAGAGGAAATGTCTGGGATCAGCCTCCAGTTGGTTACCATCACAGCACTAGGTCGGAGGCATATGCAGGCCAAGGGCTCTTGTACCTTCTCACAGCCAGTGGCCGAGAGAGGGGGTGGTACCATCCTGGACCAGATGCTGGTAGGACCCTTGCCAGATGCTGCATATATTTGTTGCAGCTCCCTGCACTTTACAGCCTCAAGATGTATCACGTGGCTGTGTCATGTGAGGTGGCTGCATCTCGGTGAGGGGTGGAGTGATTCCAGTACACACGCATGGGAAATACCATGCCCACCAAGGTGCTTTTCCTACTGGCAGGGGAAAACCACGAACGTGGCCGGGGGCAGTACCCTGACCGAGGTAATGCAGTTAAAATAGCACTGTGTAGTGAAGGGTTGCACTTTTTTCTGCTTCCGGACAGGAGTCCCTATGAGACCCTCATAGTTAGCCTCCCACTTTGACTTCCAGTGGGAGGATCTCAGCTACAAGCCAACTTTATGGAAATGGGAGACTTCTCCCTAGCTTGCTCCTGCAGCCATATGGCTGAGGGCAAGGGAAATTCAGGGGCATCCCTACTCCAAGCCTCTGGATGCCCACCAAAGGATATGGAAGTATCTGAAGCCCCAGGCGGGGGTGGAGGATGCTTCCCGGTAGCAGGGCCACATATGGTTCTTGAATGATTCACATGAATTTGGAATTGATTTGGCTGTTTTGACATGGGACACGAAAATTTTTCCATAAAAACAAAACAAAACAAAAACATATGCATCAAGCTCCTGCCTGGCTAGCTGCAGTATAGAAGTACACATCAATCTCTTTATTTGGACCCACCACTCCAAGGTCAGCTTGTTTCTTGTGAAACAGGGTCCCTGCGGTGATCCAGCTCTGACGCGGTTGGCTGAAGAGGATGTTGAGGAAAATTCTGTCTTCATGTAAGCTGGCGCAGCTTCCTTTGGCTTTAAAGGATGTCCGCTTATTTATGCAAGGGGAGAAGGCGTGTGTGTGTGTGTGTGTGTGTGTGTTACCATAGCTGTGACATTTTTTGAAATGACAAGGCAATCCTTTCTGCTTTCATAGGACCCATGAAAACATAGGGTTTCTTGCTCCCTTTTCTGGCTCAGTAGCCCCAGGTAACTAATCATCACTGCTTCAGGGGCTGTGCTGGCTTCTGGGCTGACACTGATATGAAGATAACCCAGTCTGTACATTGAAGTCATTGTTACTCAGCCTGCTACCCCAGCCCTGGGCTGTCCATGTGTAACTGTGATGAAGCTCCAGGCTTAGGATCTCCACTGCCTTAGGCTCTGCCAATGTCCCTCAACCCTGTCCGAGAGTCATCTTGCTATTCCAGCTCTAGACCCCCTGGCATAGGTGTAACTAGGAATTTTGGCCCCCTGGGGCTGCTATTGCCATGGTATGAACTCCCTGAATATTGGCTGCTGCTCTGGCAGCAGGGCAGGCCTAGGGGAGCTGACATTTTGGTGCCCTTTCCAAGGTGGTACCCTGGGCTGATGTCCAGCTCACCCATCCTAATTATGCTTTTGCCCCTCATCTCCCCACAATGCTGTTAGCACTCCTCAGCCCCAGTTTGCCACCCTGGATTATTTCAGTCCTAGGGGCTTCACGAGCACCTCCTGCAAACCCCACCAATGCACCTCTGCCCTCCCTGACATCCCAGGCCTGCCCCCACCCCATGCGGACATGTCGCTGCTTCTCAAGCCTGCCCTGTGGTCTCTCCTGTTACACAGTCCTGAGTCTTGCTAGAAGACAGATTAACAATGGTGGTGAATGGATAAGGGGATAGGAGGGAGGACTAAGAGGAGAGCACTGAGGAGCTCCAGCCTGTAC